TGTCCAGTGATTCAACCTGAAAAAACAAACGGGAAAAATAACCTCCACACTTAACCCTGCTGAAGTATCAAGTGTACACTCCAACAAACCAATAAATCTGAAAACTCTGGATGCCCTAAAGCTCAGACCCATTTTTACTGGCATTAAAAATGAGCAGCCAATGTTAGTCTGACACATAAGAAAAAGAAAACTGTGATATTCTTCAGTTAAAAATGTGTCACAATTGCATCAGGCTTTAAGGGTTGAGTTTGTTTTTAAGTTCACCTTCTGCCCTCTAGTGGTCATAAATTGCTTGAAGGTCCGGTATTTTCATTATGTCTGTCTTCAAACTAGAGGACCATCATCATATTTAACTTCAATTAAAATACCCCTCAAAAATAAGAGTGCACTCCCAGGCAATAAAACCCAACCCGTAACATACATACAACTTCTGAAAAACATAACTGCACAAATATAAAACCGACTACAGGTCAGTATAAACCTGTAGCTAAACTAAACTAAACTTGCTCTAAACTTGTTTTAGGTGACACAGCTTTCTGTTGTGTACAAAAGGAACATAAAGGCGAAACATAAAACCTAAACAGATCAATTTGAACTTGCTCTTTCGTAGCTAAACTCATATTTTTCTATATTTCACGCTTCCAGTACAATGTAACTCATCCTCAGCTCATTCAAATACCTTCAAAATACATATATAATTATTTCACTATTTACATTTACATTTCATGGTCCTGCGTTGTATGGAGGACTGAAAGTGCCACAATTAAATAAATAAATGCACCATTAAATAATTACTTAAATGTGTCATTAATTAATTAAAATTGGAATTAAATACATAAATGTGATATTAAATGTGTCATTAATTAATTCAAATACCGATTCATTTAATGTAAAATACATATATAATTATTTCACTATTTACATTTACATTTCATGGTCCTGCAGTGCTTCATGAATTACTTAAAACTGTCAAACTCACCCATCAAAAGTTGGTAGGCGGAACCTAACGCCTGATTGGTTACCCTGCGCATCAAGCCAAGACAAATCAATTCCAGATAATGGATCGATGCAGAGCTAGTGAACACATTCCAATACACTGGGTGGCGCTATTGGACTACTTCTTCTCAATCTGCAGTCACTCTGTGGTCAATATCTTGGTCAGAAAGTGCTGAAATAACTCCAAGAACTTCAATAAGTTCCTCTGCTTTACTCGCTACATGCTCTGGGTCAGCAGCTCCTGCTTCCACATCCTCTGCTAAGTCTAAAAAATTAAATAAAGTGTTTAACTTTGAAAAATAAAGTGTAGCAGCAGCTTGAGTTTCCCTTTTTCTTTGTAAACTGTTTCATATCTTGATTAACAGTCTCAACAAATGTTATAAATGAATATCAACACATCTTTACAATTGAACAGTTTCTCTTTCTTTCCCTTTTATATCTTTCTATAGACTTTCTGTTGTTCAGTGAGAGAATTGAGCTCTAACCTCTCTCCCTTGTTGGGCAGTGAATGAACGGGTCAGGATCAGTGTTGGTCATCTTACTTTAAAAAAGTAATTAGTTATAGTTACAAATTACTTATGTAAAAGTAATTAGTTACTCAGCAAAGTAACTGTGATGTTATTTTCTATGGTCTATAATTACATTCTGTAACATCTTCTATAACGTTAAAGATGTTTATAATCACTGAATAAAGAATAAAAACACTATACAGTATTTTAGAACATTTGGTATTTATTTGAACTCAATAGATTGCAGCCGGCCATATGCATGGAAATTGTAAGTGTAAATAGTGAAATAATTATATATGTATTTTACATAAAATGAATCGGTATTTGAATTAATTAATGACACATTTAATATCACATTTATGTATTTAATTCCAATTTTAATTAATTAATGACACATTTAAGTAATTATTTAATGGTGTATTTATTTATTCAATTGTGGCACTTTCAGTCCTCCATACTACAGAAGGATAAATACTTATTGAAGATACTCTTGGCAAGTTGAAACTAGACCCTCCAACATCAGACCAGTGGCGTGGGATCATCCAAGAAATTTACTGTATGGAGAGACTTTTGTATTAAGGCTTCAGTTGGAGAAATGTACTCAACGCTGGAAAAAAATGGATTGTGTATGCACCTTGAATAATGTGACATTATACCATGATGTATGTGTAAAAGAATACTTTTAACTGCAACACCCATGATGATCTCATGTTCTTTGTACTAGTTCTTTGTACATGTATGTAAAAAAAAAGAACTTGTACAGCTCAATAGACCAATTTCAAGTTGTAACCCATCACTTCAGAATAGAGTCTGTTAATAGCAGTAGTTGTGTGCTGTAATGGATTTACTAAGTGTGAACAGGAGGCAGCTTTCAAATAGGTGTGAAATAGTTATGAGAGCTCACTTTAGAATAGAAAAACAGTTAGAAAGACTTAATTTAGAGTTATTTGGAACACTATTTTGTGTGTTCCCTACAGCAAGTGAAAATATCTTGAGTTGAGGTAAATTCCCTTGTTTCACATTTTACAGCAGACTTGATTATTGGAAAGTTACAATGGAAATAAGTCAAATTTTAAAACTGGATTGGAGAATCTAAAATCTGATTACATGACGATGGTAAATTGTCAGAAGACAGATTTAAGTCTTTCTATCCAGAACAGTAGTCCAGATGCTGTGGCTTTCAAGAGCTGTCTCCCATTTTAATCTTGTACATTTATGGGCTCTTGGGCCTGGTTGTTGACACGACACCAAATGTGGACGCAGGGCCCCTTGGTCTTGCCCCCTTTATTAAAACACCCACTTCCTGATAATCCAGGAACAGTTGGATTATGTCTCCAGTTGTAAGGTATTTTTCTCCCTTTTTAAAGTAAATTTTTTGCATTTTGAAAAACCACGAAGGATGAAAATTTCTAGCTTTATCTGTGTTGAATGTGAACGTGTTATAAAACATTTTCTTGTTTCTAAGTCCAAGCTTTCCGTTTCATCTGCTCAGTCTAAGCAATGATTGTTTGATAGTGTAGCTTCACTGCCTGTGTGTGTGTGTGTGTGTGTGTGTGTGTGTGTGTGTGTGTGTGTGTGTGCGTGTGCGTGTGTGCGTGTGCGTGTGTGCACGCGCGTATGTGTGAGCAAGTTCAGTGTATAAGGTCTTGCCATTCTACCAGGTGGAGTGCGCCACCTACATACACTTGTAATACCATTAAGTATACTGCAGGTGGCGCCACTATATTATATAGATTATAGATTATATATATATTATATCACAGGAGGCGGTGTTTGCTCTCAAATGTTAGTTTTAATTACATGTTTTAAAAATCTTAACTTAAATGGGCAAAGGCTTCGCATATTGTTCAGTGGGAGCTTCCCATTACACCCACAGCCGTCTCTTGATGTTGAAGGGCACTGTGTTGTTCATTGTTCAGGGAGTGGAAAATGTTGAGGGTTGGTCATTCACTTCTCCTCTTTGATCTCTGGGCTTCAAATCAGCTACCCTTTGGTCACCTCTCTGACCTCCAGGCTCCTGCCACCTGACTTGCTGTGTAATGTTATAAGGAGTTCGGTCTAGACCTGCTCTATTTGAAAAGTGTCCTGAGATAACTTCTGTTATGAATTGGCGCTATACAAATAAAATTGAATTGGATGAGTGTGTGTGTGTGTGTGTCTATGTCTATTAGAGACGCCCCTACCTCGTCATACCACAATACCTCAGGGCAGTGGGCTGCAGTCACTGTTGCATTTGATATTGAAGCTGCATTGAGAGACGAGTGCTGATGGAAGCCGTGGTCACTTCGCTGAATGCTGCTTTGGTTTAGGTGTTGCATTTTTGTCGTCAGTAACTGCAGGCAAGGTCTCGTCACTCAGGAAGCTGTGAAGTTGGAAGTCTGCAGAACCTTTTGTCTCTCAGATGATTTTGGAGTTAATTCAGTTTTAAATTGTTTAAAAATTAACCTGATCTGTGTAAAAACAGGCGCATATGCAAGTGGTTATCGAATACCTCATTTATCAATTTTATGTTGTTTTTGGCTTGTACAATGCTCCGTATATTAATTCAACTGTGGGGTTTGTGCATATTTTTGTACTGTTGTTATTATTATGGACATGATAATAATGATATTACTGATATTATAGTTTTCTCTTTGATTAAAGCAAACAAAAATAGGACAAAACACATGAATGCTTGTAAAAATTGGTTTGTGCTGATTGTATTTAAGAGGAGCACTTTTTTTCACACATTCAGTTTTGTTCATATTAGTAATATAAAGATATGGTTCTCAGTGCTTTAAACTTGTATGTCATGATAAAGTTTTACTTTATATCTTATTTCCACATATCTCAGGAAAGTTGCAGCATCACAGCTTCTGCAAGTTACCTCAGTTATTGAAATGTGTCAGCCTGGTTATTCCACAGGCGGAAGCATGTCAACCCTAGCTCGGTGGTCAAATGCAGTCAAAATGGATGGACACTGTTTTTATTTGGGGATGAAACCATATTATCATTATTATCTTGTCTAAGTCAAAAGATGCACTGCAGAATTATTTCCTGGATGTATACCTATATGTGAATAAAGAACTCTCTCTCTCTCTCTCTCTCTCTCTCTCTCTCTCTCTATATATATATATATATATATATATACATAAAATAATTTATTCTATTTTATTTATCCTTTCTGTTATTCTATCATTTTGATTATCTTTTTCTGTGTGTAGCATGAAGGAACTACAAACTTTCACTTTGTTATACTGCCTTGTGTTGTATAATGATGAATACATTTCCTTGATTCCTTGAAATGTGTTTCATAGACAAATATAAATAGTGAAGTTTCTTATAGCCTTTGCCTTTCCATCAAGGCAAAGGGTGGCTTGATTGCCAATTCTCAATGTTTTTTAATTGTATGACATGATTATATACATTTGTTGTTTGGCCACCAGTTGACAAATGACACTTCATTAAAAAGATGTACACACAACCTCTCAAGGGTATGGAACACAAAACACAATATTAAATCATTGTTTTATTTCATAAATTGAACAAAAATAAAAACTTGTACAAAAGTTCACATGTGGGATTTAGAGTGCTGAATGAGCCTGTCTCTGATAAACAGAATATTTACAAGTGTCAGTATTTATATACATAGACATACGGTTGAAAATCTGTGTGACAGTTTACACACTAAACAGATCTGTCAGCTGAAACGTATACAGCTGGTTTAGGCAGCACATTTGTTCTTAGCCTTGAAGAAACTAAAAAAATATATTTTAATAGATATGTTTATTGGCCAAGCGCTTGCTCATGGTGGGAACTGTTTGGTCTCTGTAAATAATTTTATAAGGTCTAGACCTGTTCTATTTTGAAAAGTGTCGAGATAACTTCTGTTACGAATTGGCACTTTACAAATAAAATTGAATTGACCTCCATTTTTCAAATTTTAAGGCATCACTTAAGAATAGAGTATGTTAATAGCAGTAGTTGTGTGCTGTAATGGATTTACTAAGTGTGAACAGGAGGCAGTGTCAAACTTCAAGTGAAATAGTTATGAGAGCTCACTTTAGAAGAGGAAACAGTTAGAAAGACTTAATTTAGAGTTATTTGGACACTATTAACAATATGTCTTGTGTTTTCTTACATAAGAATAGACTATATTTATTAAGTGTAATTAAGAGAGTGGTAGTGTGCCTTATAAGGCCCAAACTGAGCAAAGTGTATTAAGATTATAATTCATGACAACTTCCTTACTTATTATCAATAAGCAGTAATTAGGAAGTTATTGATAAAAACTTGTAGTTGTAGAATATAGTCATACAGAATAAAGCATTAATATGTTGATTATATTGACTAATAAAGAGTCAATATGCATTATTGACTCTTTATTAACTAGTAATGGTTAATATGTGTACCATAAGTATAAAGTGTTACAGATATTTTACTTTCCCTGATCAATAAAGCAAATTGTTAGTAAGATTGTTTTCAATAACAATCCCCACTGCATTTGGTAATGACACTGTTATGTCCTGATGTTTACATAAATGCCAAAAGGGCAGTAAAATTATTTTGTTATTAAAATGAGAGTAAACAAACATGATTTGGACCCTCAGCTACTGTATGACTAAAGAGAGTAGCTAAGGCTCCAACTAGGGCAATTGAATTCAATATTATCATTTATCACCACTGCATTAGTAGCATGTTGTTTCTCTGGACTAACAGGACAAACTCAGGATCAGAACAGCCAGGAGACAAACCCAGAGCAGTGGGCCTGCTGAATGGCCCGTTGCTCTGTTCCCCAGCTGTAGCTGGTACTGTGCCAGGACTTTACTGTAGCCCATCTCTTCCGACACACATCTGTAAGTTCCCACCTGCTCGGGACCCATGCTGTCGATCAGAAGAAGGCACTGCTGCTCCCTCGAGCTGCAGGATGTGGAGCTTCCTGGGTGTTGCCAGGTATACTGGGCATGATGGGACGACACCGGGCACTGGAGGAAATACCTTGAGTGAGAGGGAACTCTGATGGTGTCCATGTCCTCGCCTGCTTGTCTAGCACCGGAATATCTATACGCTGAGAAAAGAACACAAGAAGGTCTCTTTAGCTTTAAGACGGATGTTTATTTTGTTTTATTTATTTAACCAGGCATGTGTGTTGTTTCAATTAGAGCATGGCAAGGTGTCTGGATCCTCCTCCTGCAAGCAATGGGCTAGTCACAAGAGGACCAAACCAGGATGGGCTGTGCACCCAATAGTGAACCAGTGTAAACTGTTGAGATGTGTAATGGTTTTACGGCAGTAAAATATGTAGAGCTCTGTCTGATATGAGTTCAGTTTGCAGTGTTTGCCTATTATGATCATGCCTCCTGGCTACAGCCCTGTTCTCCTGTGTGTGGTTAAACAGTGTTCTCTGAGCATTAGGAAGGGAATCGTGACCAAAACAGTCCTCCCAAGTTTTAGTATATATTAAAGGGAACTTGCTAGCAGTAGTTTGTAGCAGTTCATGTATTCAGTTCGTCTGATTGTTATGGATTGTGGTCAGCATACACCTGAGCCATTGTACAAGGAAGCATTTCCCTGCCATCATCCATACAGTTGACCCAACATCATTCACTTAACTAGCAAAGCAGATCTTTAAGGCCTCATTCAGTACTAGCAGCCATAAATGAACTAATCCACCATCACAAGTCTGACAAGTAAAGTAAGCAAGTGACCATTTATTTATACTGGAAGTAAATTGTCAGAAGACAGACTTTGAAGTGTTATATACATCATTTATATTAGTACACTGGACACACATTTTTGATTGAGCCATATTTACGCAGGACAGCCACAATATTATTGATGATCAATCATCTCGCCTTCTTCAGAATGATTATCCTGTGAAAGGCATCATTACATCTTTGCATCAGTTGTGACCGGGCTAGAAAAGTTTTCCTGAAGTTCTTCAAATTCATCAGGAGCATTGTAGTGGGGGGGATGGTGTACCTGTTTTATGTTTCTGTTTCTTTGTGCAATCATTAAACTGTAAGTTAGCAGCACCACTGTTATTATTATTACTAGTATTAGTAGTAGTATTAAACTGGGTTAACACGAGTTGTTAGTGCTGTTTTGGAACAGTTTCATATGTAGATTGAATCTAACCAGCTAATATTATAAAACGTAGCTTGCTCATAAGGAAGCAGCATTGCCCTCAGTTTCAGAAACAGCAACAAAGTGCCGTCAGCATCAGATCTGACACCATCTTGTCAGTCATTGAGGATGTGAGATCAGATAAGAGACAACCTTTTATTTTTTTAAGGTTGTACAGTTAATTATTGATAACCACTACAGATGAATGTGTTTAGTTGTTGATTCAGGGTTTCGTACATGCATGGGCATGGATGTATTATGAATCATCATGAGAACATAACATTCACAAACCTGGCAGTGTTTCAGCCAGTGTTCTGCTCAGATCAGACACCATCTTGTCAGTGACTGAGGATGTGAGATAAGATGAGAGACAACCTCAAGTGTTTTATAATATTCTCTCTCGAGGCACACTGTACAGTTACTGAGTAACACTGTTGCTACACAGAGAAAAGAGCTGAAAGATGATGGGATTTCAGATTGTAGAGACCATGGTACTAGCAGGGTTCCTACTCTTTTTAAGAAATCGTTTTCTAGGACATTTCCAGGATGAATTGGCTACATTTTACTGTAATTTTCCTGACCATAAATGACTTTAGCCACAGTCCAAGTTCCAGGTGTTTCCATGACTGGAAAACTGGTCTCTAAATTCCCAGGTTTTCCAGGATGTGTGGGAACCCTGACTCGGGATGTAGCAGGTTGGATTTGAAAACTCTTGAAAAGAAAACGATTAAGCATATTTTACCAAATGAAAAACTACTCATCGACATAAATATCTTCCTACCTTTCACAGGGAGCTGATGAGCGGTCAAAGATTTGCAAATGTTATGGTTCCCTTGGGCCACATCTTGCACTGTGCCACTATAAAAGGAAAGGGTATGTGACTTAGCCTTATGCATAAACACACCAGACTCAACACAGTCATGCAAGTAGAGCTGACATTTAAATTGATGTAGAAGATGCCTTACATAAGGTACACAACAGTCACAATAAAGTCCTACAATAGACAATTTAAAATAATAAAATGACTTGCTTGTTAACAAATGTTTGTTAGACCTCAAACATACACACAGTGTGTTTTGGTGACAGACAGTGAATGTAGACATAACTCCACAGGGCACCTTTACGCTAAGGCTGCTACATGCAATCTTTGGATATCTTTTTATTCTTCTCGTCCCTACAGTTGGATGTTTGAGCTCCACTGTGTAGAATGATTACTGATGAGCATGATTTGTATCATCGCCAATAGTTTGGAAGTCAGTCCCGGTCCAGTATGCAACTATGTAAAAACTTAAAGTCGCTACTGCACATCTACTGAGAATGGACTTTACACTGAAGTAGGAGACATCTTGTGTCCAGCAGAAAAACTTGAGATTCTGGATTTTTTAATGAGGTTGAAGGAGCAAATTAATTTCAAGGGGTTTTAATGTGGAAATGACACAGATCAGACACACATTATTGTTCCAAGCAGACTATTTATAGTATATATGTATGTATATATATGATCTTTAAATGTCTCCAGGTACATTAAGACCGGTGCTCTTACTTTGTCTCATGGGTGCAGTGGATGCCGTTCCAGCCACAGTAGGGATCTCTGGCTATGACACAATCCTCACAGCTATCTCCATAGTGAGCACAGTTCGCCACATCCAACTGGACCAGTTCACTTCTGGAGTTCACATACAGCTTCCTCTGCAATGAGACACAGTACAGAGGGTTTGTTTTTTAAATTGTAATGTATCATTACCAACCTTTTTTTTAAAACAGCACTATCTTTGGAAAAATGTTTGATGAGCACTGTTCTTTAAGAAATACTACAATTGTTTTGTGAACTCACTATACCCTTACTGAATGAATAAAACTCCATACTTCCACCCTTGGTGGAGCAATAGTGTAGGCAGTGCTGTTACTCACAGAGGAAGGGTGAAGAATGATGTTGAGGATAGGGGTTCTGTGGTTGAAAGGTCGATACTCAGCGATGACAAAGGCCTGACTTTCATTCATTATCATCTTATGAACGCCCCCATTTTCTGTATGAAGACACAGGAAGGAGGATGACTAAATAATCAAACATGTCTGAACCAACATCCCACTGTCTTATCTCCTGTTTCATCACCTCATATGACTCCTCCAGCCAAGTCTATCAATAGTTTGATAAAAAATAAATAAATGAAGTCAGAGCAAAAATGTCTTCCTTAAAACTTCTTCAAAAAAATCGTTCCTCCTTATTCAGGATCTATTTAGACTTTGCTAGTTGGACTGATATTGTACTACAGCCTTAAGTGCTCACATGGTGAATTTATTTATCATTTATGTTACAATACATTATGTTATAGTATGAGTTATGTGTCTTCCCCACTGACATGGTAAACTGTTCAGTTGGCTCAACAATCGTCAGCCTTCTGATAATGAGAGCATGGCCCTCCATCAGGATGTTCATAATGTATTGGGTCAGACAATTTGGAGCACAACCTTGGCAGCTGCAAGCCATATTTGGTTTAAACTTTCACATCCTATTTAACACATTTGGTAAAAAACAAAACTAAAATTATAGTTTCACTTCCACCCCCTGTCAACATTCCCATGGGTCAAGCCCACTCAGAGGATCGAGGCTTGGACACTGTTTCCATAAATGTTTTTATCCTCTGTAACACTTTATTGGATTGCTCGCCTACTCATAGTATTTGTAACATTTCAACTGTTTTGCTTGGTCTGTGGATGTTTAACATTTTATCAATAGAGTATATGGGACAATTCATGAACATACCCTAACCAAGATTGTGTTTTATTGTTGTTGTTGAATCTCAACAAATAGGCTGTTGAAATGTTACAAGTATTCTATAAACTCTATAGGAAGACTATCCCAATAAAGGCTCCTTTAACCTCTCTTCTAAACTTAAAGCTATGCTCAATAGTTGTAGCATCATTAGGGTTATATATTTAAAATTTCAGTTTGACTTTAAATTTATGAAGTGTAAATGTGTTTTTACCTCATGACCAATAGTGAATCAAAAAGTCTTACATCTCTTCATCTTGTTTTAATATGAGTGGTCATTGCAAAAGAGAGCAAGCCATATCATATACTGTATGTCATTAAGGCAAATAAAAAACTATTAACTCATTTCACACAAGACGTTGAGCATGATGCACTGTTGTTCTTGGGAAACCAAAGTTCTTAGGGATATGTGGACATATGTGAGACTCATGAGAAAACAGTGAAGAAACAAACAAAATGTTTCGTCTCTTCTGCTATGCTTGCTTGCACAAGCCAAGCTAAATCGAATTGAGTCCTGTTAAATCCTGTGCTGCTGTGAGGGTGTGCAGCCATCTTTTCCAATCAGATACTAGAAACTAGAAATCTTCAGTGCAGCTGTACTGGCTTCTGTCTCAGCTAACAAATGAACTTTTCCTGCTAATTTAAAATGTAAAAAGAGATTGTTCAAATGCTTTTATCCCCCAAAAAAACAAGCTATATAAAAAGTGATGTAATCACCTACAATCACAGTACAGTACACTATTCTTGGTATCAACTTCCCTGATTCACATTACTGTACTACTCACTTTGAGACAGAAACAGGACCGGGTGGTGATCGTTCCCCCTGTACCGGGAACTGTCAACGTAGATGTGAGTGTAGCTGTGGTGACTAAAGAAAAGTGGACCAGGATTGTCAACAGGGTGGACCCAGTTCTTCATCTCTGAAGTCTGCTCGATCTTCCTCAGGGTATCTAAAGGAATCTTTCTGCTGTCTGGAACACACTGAAGGGAAAGGCATATGTTTTGGTTTTGGTTGGATTGTTACCTCCATGAGCAAAAAGACCTGTATCTGGCTTAGATTTTATCTTGGCTATATCAAATTTAGGTTACACTGATATTAAAACCAAGGATGTGGAGTAGCCTCTGATGTTACCGCTGGTGGTGTAAAAGTGGGGGATATTTACATATTGAGGCTTTAAAATACAAAAACAGTAAGTTATGTAGTTATTTGGTGTTTTAATGATACCAGCGTTGATACATACCATTCTCGCTCTGTTACTTTTCTCGTCTTTAAATGGGGAAGTTGTGAAGATGCTGTCAATACCTTGTATGGTGTAGACACACACAGCACTCATACCCCTGCAGAGAGACACAGAGGTCAGCTGGTCAACACAGACGCATCTGCAGCATCAAGAAAAACTGTTGTGAGGTCAGTAAAGATTTCTGCCATGCTGATCAAAAGCAGAAACTGAAACTGCTGAGCGGATGGGGCTAAGTTTGGAAAGAGGACCTGAACTGAATTGAACTTTGCCCAAAAACCACTGAAGAAGAGAAACAAATAAGAGAGAACCAAAGAGGTCAGTCTGAGCAACTCAATATTCAAAGCCCACAGAAAATGATCTACAATGGTTTGCCCATTTTGTGAGCTGAAGTTTCTCTTGATGAACTTCTGTGTAAACTACCATTTCTACGTGAGATGGGAGTCTTTATTCCTGGACTCTTTAGTTATTGTCCTTGGTGACTTTAACAAAGGAAACCTCAGCCACAAACTCCCCAAATACAGTTTATTAAATGCCCGACCAGAGAGGAAAACACATTGGATTACTGTTACACTACAGTCAGCAGAGCTTATCACGGCGTCCCCTGCGCCGCACTGGGCCTCTTTGAGCACGTCATGGTCCACATGACACCTGTTGTGAGGACATCAAAGCAGTGGACCAGGGAATCTGCAGAGGATCTTCAGGTGTGTTTGGACCCTACTGACTGGGATGTTTTCAGGACTGTTACCAACAGTCCGGATGAGTAGACAGAGGCTGTGACGTCATACATCAGCTTCGGTAAGGACTGCTGTGTACCATCACGCACCAGGGTGAGTTATAACAATGACAGTGGTTCACAGCCAAACTCATTCAGTTACAGTTGCAGAAGGAACAAGCGTTCAGGAGTGGGGACAGGGACAGGTTTAAGGAGTCAAAGTACAAGTTTAGCAAAGCGGTGAGAGAAGCTAAACGACAGTACTCTGAGAAACTTCAACACCAGTTCTCAGCCAATGACTCTGGCTCTGTCTGGAAGGGGCTCACACAGATAACCAACTACAAACCTAAAACCCCCCACTCCATCAACGACTTGCACCTAGCAAACCAGCTGAATGAGTTCTACGGTTGCTTTGACAGACAATGGAACATACCTGACATCATCCCCTTTGACACCCCTCACCAGCTCCACCTCACCAGTTCCCCCTCCATCAGCTCACTTCACAACTCCACACCTCTGTGAATCCCTCCTCCACCACAGTGATGACTCTCTGCCTTCAGGAGAGAGACGGCTCTTTAAAAGGCCGAACCCCCGCAGACTGTCTCTCCATCTACCCTGAAGCACTGTGCTGACCAGCTGTCTCCAGTGTTCACGGACATGTTCAACACCTCGCTGGACAGATGTCATGTGCCAGCCTGCTTCAAAGCATCCACCATCATCCCTGTCCCCAAAAAACCAAGGACCAAAGGACTCAATGACTACAGACCTGTTGCCCTCACCTCTGTGGTCATGAAGTCTTTTGAGCGCCTTGTGCTTTCTCACCTCAAAGCCAAAACGGACCCACTCCACTTCCTGTCTGACAGGAAACAGCACGTGAAGCTGGGGAAAAGTGCACTTCTACACCGTCATCATCGAGTCCATCCTTACCTCTTCTATCACCATCTGCAGAGGACAAGGGCAGACTGCAGCATATCATTCGATCCACTGAGAAGGTGATCGAATGCAATCTGCCATCCCTTCAGGACCTGTACGCCTCTAGGACCCTGAGGCGTGCAGACAAGATTGTGGCTGACCCTTCCCACCCCGGACACAAACTCTTTGAAACACTTCCCTCTGGCAGTAAATATCTTTCATGTACAGTTTGGATCTTTCTATCTTTATCCTTATCTTTATTTATTTATATTTAAAAAGTACTATTTTTGTGTGATTTTTATGCACCAATGCAGGAAAGACAAATTCTTTTAAAAACTTACTTGACAAAAAACCCAATTCTGATTCTGATTCTGATTCACTACACATACTGTATTTAATGTTTGAGATAATTTCATTTACCCTAACTTAATTCAACAGTTGATAATGAAGTCCTACCATTCATTTCTGAAGAGTGCATAAACCCTGGTGTCCTGCCAGCGGTCTGCATCCACAGTAGCCACATCTACCAGCTCAGAGAAGTGCTGCCTGCTGTCAGAGTCTCCACAGAAGAGCCTGGCATTCATCTGGGATGTCCAGGTAAACTGTAGGGTGTTCCTGGGCCCACCAATATCTGCCTGGAAGCATTGATGCTAAGGTATTATTCATGTATTCATGTATTATTAGTATATGCAATTTATATGGTTACACTTCCTGTGGATGGCAGGTACTTTGTGCACATATCTCATGCTAAAAATATTTTTTATAAGGGGTATTTATTAGGGGTGGTTCGGTATGCAACTGCTTTAGTTCAGTGGGCCCTGTGACTCAAAATAGCCTATTTATGTTTATATATCAAGCTCAGTGGGTTAGTGTCAAAGTGTATGCTTTGTTCAAATAAAGTCGCGTGGAGTGTCTTCAAGAAGAGATAGGAAGAGACAGCTCCCCCCACTCAGAGTCTCATCAACCAAGCAATAAACCTTTCTAATTCCAAAGGTTCGTTGGTGTGATCAGCGTGGTCTTTGTTAGTGAAATATGTGGTTTAAATATAAATCTAAAGAGTGGTAACCAGAAAGCAGTCACGTGTAGTCTGTTTAACAGACAGACAGATAGAGAGAGAGAGAGAGAGAAAGAAAGAGAGAGAGAGAGAGAGAGAGAGAGAGAGAGAGAGAGAGAGAGAGAGAGAGAAATTATCAACAGGTCAGGGTCTTACAATGGAGCATCACTGACATTTGTGTTATTTAGTTTTCTTAATCATTTTTATTATTGACAATATTTCAGAATTGCATCAGTTGTTACAATAAGAATTGAACAGGACTAATGAGCTACTGTTTTTTGGGACTTGTATTGCTTTTAATCAATAGTGACAGCTTAAGACTGACAGGAAAGGGGTGAGAGAGGGGATGACACACAGCAAAGGGCCAGAGTCGAACCTATGGCCTCTGCAGCAAGGACTCTGCTGCAACACCCACGTACATGGGGCACTTCATTTTTTTCCCCCTACTGTAGCAAAAATGTACCGAACTGTGACCCGAAAACCCCTAGTTTATATTCATACAATCGAGCTGAAATGTTTGAACATTTGTTTCAACACAAGATCAACATCACAACCAAAAAGCCAACTCATCAGTCTACCAAATATCCCAACAAGCCCCAAGCAACCCAACAAAAACTCCTACACTTACAATACCTACACACACACCTATAAACATCTACCCAGTCAATAAGGATAGTGCTTAATTGACACACTCTTGCATACATGAAATGTTTGTGGAAGTTATTTTATCCTAATTTATTAACTATGCGGTCCTTACCGTGCAAACCTGGGTCACAAAAGGGAACCACATTTCACTGTACAAGCCTGTGTCTCTGTTTTTCTCCTTATAGAAGGCATAAACTCTGTCTTGCAGGGGATCGTCTTTCCGTCTGCTGAGCACCAAACCCACATAGTGCTGCTCTAAAGACACAAAAACAAGGGAATTATTTGTCTCTATAGCGCCCTAGGACATATGCATGTTTAAGGAACTTCTCAAGTCCTTAAGGAAAACTAATAATCTCCATGCAAATACCTTTATCTTGGTTAGCTGGTCCAACTCGGTGTTTCCCAAACTTGTGGATGCCAACAAACCCTGGAGATCCAGAGTTTGTAATGTAAAGGTCTTCACCTCCTTTTGATTCTGCAAAGACAAAGAAATGCTTAAATTTTTATTTAAAATGTTTTCGATGCCAGTGGGAGACTGTAGAGCCTAGTAGGTACAAGCAGGAAGCACCAGTGCCATCTCATTATAAGAAGGAGAAAATCATTACAAAGTGTTTAGCTGAGACAAAGCAGGTTAGTAGAGCTGAAAAGGGCATAGACATAGCAAACGTAGACAAACAAACCAATGAGGATTTAAAAAGTTTAAAGCCATTATGAAATCTTGCAATATCCTGTGTGTACAGACACTCACCCACAAGGGTTGATGGTTCACCTTCCTTTATGACAAATGCCCTTATGCTTCCTTTTATGTTTCTTATTTTTTCAGAGGGAATGCACTGGGGTGACTGCTCTGATAAGTTCTGCAAAACACAAACACAGTAGGCTTTAAAATATCCATCACTGGTTGCATAAATGTGACTCAATGATTCAGTACACTCAACTCATAAAAGCTTATGTATTTTTTGTTTTATCATGGTACATCTGGATAAAAAGATTAGCAGTGATAGCCACTGTGATCAGATAGAAAGGACCACCACCAGTGACTATTCCTAATGTTTATAGCAAAACAGACATTTTCATTTTCATCTTTTCCTCCCATCCTCAGTAACATCCAGTAATATCCAGTAAATCTCTGCAGTGTCCTACCGTGTTACAGCACACAGTTTCCTGGCCATCGGTTCCACACACAAACACCTGGTTGGCCTCTTCTCTCTTGTGGACCACAGTGATGTTATATTTGCAGTCCTAAATGAAAGGAGCAAGAGTGATATTTAAGTTTAGTGATATTTAAATCAGATCTCACCAACATACCAAATATCTGCTGTTTGTTCTGCTCACTCTTTGTGGAAGTTGACTGTCGCTGCATTCTTCCCACAACACCGTTCTTTCCACTGGAGTCTGAAAAGACAAAAAAATAAATCACTATAAACACATGCCATCTGTTATTTAACTGCAGACTCTAAATATTTCAGATCATTTAAATAAGTTATGTGATCAAAGACTGTCAGAAATGTTCACTACCTCCTGAGGATTTTGAAAGTTGAATGAAATCAGGTTTTTTGGTCCAGCAGCTGTGACAGTGTCCGGCTCTCCTCCCAGAACAATCTGTACAGGTACATGGTCGCCAGGTAAAGGGACCCTTTTCATTGCAATATCTACAATAAAGAAATAAGAATGATAAACTACTGCACATTGGGTCTGTAATGATTGAATGAATGGCAATGACCATTGGTCCAGACTGAAATACCTCGAAAAACTATTTGATGGATTGCCATGACAATTTTCTGTGAGACGTCTTGAGAATTGTTAGATGGATTTCCATTAAATTTGGTGGATGCTGCGGTGGTGGTGGGGGCTTACAGATTTGGTGGATGCTGCGGTGGTGGTGGGGGCTTACAGATTTGGTACACGTATCCATATAATAGAATAGAATAGAATAAACTTTATTGTCCTGGAGGGGAAATGTGTCTTGGGCACAGTTCTACAGTTTGTTGCTTCACAGAAACAACTATACCTCAACAACAGACACACATCAAAAAACAATTACAAAATTAACATCTCAAAACATGGAAGACACTACATTTTAACACTGACAATGTGGCAGCTTAAAAAGAGACTGTAGACTATAGCACAAGCCCAGGTCGCTGCAGAGCTGCGCCACCGGAAGAGTGGCATGTTCCCCAGATAATGAATCCTGACAGCTTTGGTGATCCTCTGACTTTTCCACCACTGCCACAAGCAGGAAAAGTATTTCACTTATACAGTGAAATATCTCCTTGATGGATTGGTACAACATTTTGTACAGACATTCATGGGACCCTGGGGATGTGTTCAAATACCAGTGATCTGTTGACTATACTCACAACAACTATTCTCAGCTCAAAATACTGCTTTGTGGAGGTTAGAAAAGAGCCAGCATTTGATTTTTTCTCTCAGATCTTTTTCTTGTTACACAAATGGAGCGAAGCCTGCAATCTAGTTCAGGCACACATGACATGCCTCACTCCATAATCACTAACAAAGCACACCCTTCCAATTGTGCAGTCTATTCAAACTGCACAATTTCCCAGCTCTCCCTCTTCTCTGTCAATGTTGCCCTGCATCCGTATTGCTGCCTGCTGCTCTGTAAGCCCCACCACCACCGCAGCATCCACCTGTAGGCTCCGGCTAGGGTTTAAGGTATTTACTCATCACTCCCCAATATTTCATGTAAACATATAATTTTTGAACACATTGTGTACATACTTTTCATACATTTTCATTATATATTCATACGTTTGCAATGAATTTAATATTTTAAATTATGTTTCACGTTCTGATTATATCACATGGCATATAGCTATATTCTTATCCACCTTTTTTGAAATTGTTCCAATTTGAATAGATTCATAAGTAAGGAAATCTATATTTCTGGGTTTGGAAATCAGCCAATCATGCAAGGACTTACATAGGCTTTGGATTGTATCACAAGTATAAAAGTAGGTGTTATGTTGTTTCTACATTTGTGTAAAACTTGGTCTTATGAATTCATTTGAGGGATACATTTCATTAACAGTTTTAAAATATATTTCTTTTTATTTTGGGGGTTATTGGAAATTTTAGGAATTTGGTTCTTATTTGGTTTTTCCATAGTTTCTGAGATTTTCATTAAACCAGGGTACATAGTGTTTCTCAAATATTGCCTCATTAATGTATTACCAACGAATAAATAACAGGAGTAGTAGGTTGGATGACAGTTTTCATGTTGCTTTTTGTGTAACTTTCTACTGCCCTGCAAACATTAGCTCAGCTAGCATTAGCTTTGTTTTTATTCTGTTCTTGTCCAATAATGTGAGTGTAGCTAGACATTTCAGATGAAGTTGGTAAACTCAAACTGTCTCCTTCATAAAGAACAACACGTCACTACAGTTAGCTGCAACAGGGGACCCACCAGAGACACTGATTTATTATTTTATTTTATAAATTAGGACCAAGTTGAGCCACAATGAGCTGTTGCAGTCTTTAGTAGCTAGTTGTACTTTTACTGCATTAAACTGTCTTATATGCTGTCTTACAAGTAACACTGAATCTGCCATGTTTTACAGGTGATCTGAGTGATCTGATGAAGCTCAGGTGTTCCTGGACCCATCAGAGGACAGAGACAGCGGCAGCATCAGGACAGTCTGGGTATCCAAAGGAAGACTGATGAAGATGAACACTGACTGTAGAGCTCCATTACCAGCTCACACTTCAGTACACTAGAAAGCCTATACCTAGATGGAAGACATGATCTGCAGTTTGAATAAAAGTTATGGCTTTGCTACTTGTATCATACACACAGTTTTTATTTCTGTGTAATAAATTGTTTTAATTTTAAGGAGAGTTTTGGTCATTTTTAAATTTAGTGGCAAGTGTGATTTTAGATCAATAACATGTTATTCACAGAGGTTTTGCTAGTAATCCGGCAGTAAATAATGACTGTGAGTAACACATTTGTTTCACAGTCAAACTTATATACTACTATATAATCTGCAGCTTTGACAAACATTTTGAAGCATACATTTGGCAATAATTGACAACAAAAATTTTAAAATATCAGACTTACTTATGAAATATGGATAAAGTACAGTCCATAGCAGTTTAGTCTATGTATGTCTGGCCTGAAGCTTTGGTGCCCCGATGGTGGGGGGATGATTATAGTTGTACTTGTTTAAACTGTTGGGTAGTTTTATTTGAAACTGATTGGTCAAAGTCTGCATGCTGAGTGAATGGCTGGTGGGTTCCTTCCTGTAAATTCTCTCTGTCACCGCCTCCTGATTTCCTCCACTTTCACTTTCAAGGCGAGGCAAAGTTCAACGATCGAGACTTTAGTGTGTGTGTGTGTGTGTGTGTGTGTGTGTGTGTGTGTGTGTGTGTGTCCATGTACTATCAGAGGTTTTAAATTAACCGGAAAAACGAGAGAAAGAAGACTTCACATTCCTCAAACATCGTCAACAATTTAAAACATGTCCCTTGTCTTCTTGTCTTTGGTACACGACCACTGACACTAATGACGATGTAAAAACTGCGTCATGTTTCAAAGTAGAATAAAACTGAAATATTTCATACCTTTTTCTGTGAATACCATCCTGGGTAAATGCGTTGAGTTCGCCTCTGTCAAACTGTTGAGGCATGAAAATATGAAATATCCCGTAAAGAGAATCATTGTTCAGTTGAACTGTGAGCGGCGTTCAGTGTCTCTCTGAACCTCTGACACAGGGAGGAGGGTTCTTCCTCTTCCTCTTCCTCTTCTTTTCCATGTGTGGAGTTTTATGCCGCTTGATATTCGTAAACGTTGCATTACCCCACCTACTGTATTTTATTTGTTAAATATTTACAGTGTAGGTAAGTAAATATTTATTTATATAGAACTTTTTAAACAGTTACAAAGTGCTTCACAAACAAACAAACAAATACAAATATAAACATAGCCTACGTACATATGGGTCTATATATATGCATATATCTTCAACCTCTTTCCCACGCCTTCATACATCCACATAGAAACTCAAAACTTTAAAGCGTTAACAACAACTTGGATTTTCTCACATGAATTCAGCTTTTTCATATCTTTGATAGTTTTTACAAAATCACAGTTCAAAATTCATGAAAATGTAATAATAAATAATCTTCCTCCTCCCTAATGGTTGTGGCCACCACATGTGTTGTATGAGAATATCCTCCTCTGCAAAAACAACTAAATCACACTACTCCATCCCTGTTAAGTAAGAAAGTAAGAGCTGGCCTTTCACCTGCCAGTAGTAGCTACAGTCCAAATAGCTCTTTGTGTGGTGGGCTCTCAGTCAGTTCAGACCATACTGTCAATGGGTCAAACACCAGACCGTCAGGAGATGATCCTAACTAGGGGGAATCTGGGTGGATGACAAACCCACAGGGCTAGCAAAATGTTTACTTGGGTCCGGTGCTAGTCCCCTCTTCATTGCAGCCCTAAAAAGTTATTCTTGAGCTTCTGACACAATGCCTTGTCACATCTAATGTAGAGGCAAGTGACTTTAGATGGAGGTGTTGTTGGTGACCGTACACAAACTGGCAACTGGTATTTGACTACAGCCATCTACAGGTAGAGTTGGTGCTGGAGGGGAATCTTAGTGGAATACTACATCCCTGCTCACTGGTAATGGATGCTGGTAGGAGATGGGACTACCTTCCTGGACTTTACCAAAAGCTGAGTCAACCCGTGGGGTGTCTGCACTGGAGCAATGTCTGAGAAGTCCTTGTACACCTCGTCCAGACTTTGAGGACATCTGGATCTCGTAGCTCCCCATGTAATGTGTACTCCTTTAAAGAATTTTACTTTCACAAGTAGGACAATTTTACACTCAGACAATAATAACAAAGTTATATAGACATCATATAGATAATGGGGTAAATGGCTAGATAATTGAGGTGGAGGGGAGCAGCATAGCTCAGTAGGTAGAGATGTGGTCTCGTAGTCAGAAGTCATAGTTCAAACCCCAGCTCCCCCATCCTAGTAAGTGGCTAAATAACTGAAGTTAAGTAATGGAGTAAATGGATAGGTGGAGGGGGCATCATATTACCGGTGTTAGAACTGTGGCCCTGTAGTCAGATCATGGTTTAAAAAAAAGCAATGTAAAAATAATTATTAAATTAAGTCATTTTTAATTTCTGATATGATGTAGGCTACACCATGATGGTGACTTTACCAGCTTCTGCTCCTAAAGCAGCGCTTTCAGAAGTGTCATGGACACTGAAGGACCTGTCACCATTAAGCCAAATAAATCTACTGTAGGGTGCTTAAACCTCCAGAAGATGGCAGTGTAGGTTCTTGGAACATTCATTTACATTAATGAAGAGGGTGATTTAAAAATGAATTGTACCTGACCATGTGTTATTGTGAGTTACTTTTACCAAACTTTAATAGATTAATATATATACAATTGTATTTTTATACACAGATGTCAGAGGCTGCCATGCAAAGCACCAACTTCCAACAGAAACCAAATAAACCCATTCACACACACTGACGGCACAGCATCAAGAGCAATCTGGGGTTCGGTATCTTGCTCAAGGACTCTTTGACATGCAGTTGAAAGAGCTGGGGAGCAAACTGCCAACCTCCTGATTATGGATAACCTGCTCTACCTCCTGAGCCACAAACACCACAGCTATACCGTTCTCCATGTGTAGTTGAGAATACTGTAAAGATATTTTCATGTTGTCAAATCAGATGAGTTATAATATTGCTTACTGGTTATTTAGATCCTCATCATTTACTACCTAAGAAACATTAATTGTCCCTGACGTCTAAAGCGAAATGTTACACAATGTATTCTCATGGAGAAAAAGGAAAAGGCAGTTCTAAATCTATCAAACAGCCAAATGATGTAAAAATCCTCATAAGGATGGCCTGGTGGGCTGGAAGACTGTTATAATTGCTGCTCTAAATGAAAAACATTCACTTTATTTTCCTAAAGATTTCGACTTCCCCTCAACCAGATTGAGGACAGCAGAGAGTCTTTGGCCAAAAGCTGCAAGCAGACTGCAGTTCTGACTGGAAGCTGTCCAGCTATACTGTAAATGCTGCTGCAGCACACATGCTGAAAGCTGACTGCAGTTCACAATCAGAGCAGGTGGCTGAGCTATCAGGATACTCAATGAAGGATGACACCATGGAAAAGAACCAAAGGAGTGTGTTATACGAGTAATCAGTGTTACACTGTAAGGATTTCATCAGCTGGATGTTGGCTCTGATGAAGAGTGAAGGTGCTCAACTCAGGTGAGTCAAATGTTTTATCTGCCAATGTTACATTTTCTCTGACTGTATTCCTGCAGGTCAGCTGCTCTGAATAGGAGAACATGTTTCTTTTTTTTAATTCCCAAGATGTGCAACATTATATGGATTACCACTCTAGTAAAAGTTTGCCATATTGAAAGTGGACATGTTTTGGATTGTGAGGAGGAATGTGGAAGAGAAAACGGCCTGCAGGAGGTGCTAGTCACATCTCTGTGTGTCATGGCCAAATTTTGCTCTCCATCCAATGATGAGATAGGATGAGTTTCCTAATAAACAATCTCTGATGTCTTGAACTCATTGTCCTCTAACTTCCCACAGATATTTACCCACAATAGATGATGCCTCGTCCAGCTGATGAGGAGGAGCCTGACCAGCCTGTGTGGCAGCTTGTCGTCTCCTTCTGCTGTAAGGGAATGATTGAAGGCGTCATAATGCTGCTTCTCCTCTGGCTCCTCATTCAGGTTCTCTTCATTCAAAATCTTGAAGGTACTCAAATTTACAGAAATTCAAGAGTAGGTGTGTGTCTGTGTGTGGGGAGGATGAGGGGTGAGCCAAGATTATATTGCTAGAAATATTTAAATCTGTTTCTTTTCAGCAATTTTTCAGTGTAAATTTGTTATACAGTACATAAGATTTAATACCACATCCAGCGCTAATAATTATACTGTACAAACAAAATAAACAAGTAATCTAAAGGAAAACATAAATGTAGTAAATATACTAAATATAGTTACCACTGTAAAACTTTCATGTCAGCAATTTTAGATTAAAGCTTTTCTGTTGGTATATAATAAATAAATGCCACAAAATTAATGTAGCCCCATCACCACCGTACCTCTGATATGAATGGTGATCATGTCAATATTATGGTTATTCTGAGACGTTAATTGTTTTTAATGAAGTGAGGTGAAAAACTGACTCTCTAATTTCAGAGAGAAGTAAACCTCCAGGAGTATCCTTGTTTAAAATGTACCTTGAACACCCAACACACTGTTGGACAATGCTAAGTTCGCTACATTTAAATGCAAGCGCATTCATCTGTATTCAAATGAGAGTATATTAGACCCACCCACACAAAAGCAAAGAAAAAGAAAAAAAAAGTGACCCCGGGTGTTATGATACTTTAATCTGGAGAGACATAAGGCTTCTATTATGAGGCCCTTTAGCCTGAGGGGAGCCATATTTATAGCATAAGAAAGCCCATGGTTCATGGATAGTCACTCTGTTTGCCAACAGGCACGAAGATCTCTCCAAGATCAGGGACATTCTGCATTTTGCTTTGTTGAAGGTTAAAGAGCGTGACAGGGTGTTGAGATGGGTGGCCGAGTCCCTTTTCAACAAAAATCCATCGTCTTATTTAAAGCTACCTTGGTGGATTTCTTTTACCACTTGGGGGAAACGTGACAAGATGAAAACAACGACATGGCAAACATGTCAGCAAACACCTCTAGCAGACACAAGAGAAACATTGTTGGCCACCTGATGAATGTAAATCATATATTCACTGCCATCTCTCAGGTTTTGCTCTCTACCAACTCAGAACTTAGAAAACAAGAACAGAACAAGAAAATATCTTGCTTTTGAGCTGCTATATGCTCCACTATGTTCACAAACTCAGTGCTACATTTGTCGGTCTGCCTTTTGGTTCTGGGCAGGTGGTGTACAGCGGGTTTATCACAGTTTTTTGAAAAACAACGTTGATGAAAGTAAAGTTGCAGTGGCAGTTATCCATTGTAGACTGACAGTGCTGTAGAGCTGAGGGAGGCTGCAGAGTTGGGTAGTAATTCTCTGTTGGTTCGTCACTATATAAAAAATCTGAATGGGTGAACTATTTACCATCTCTCTCCCTTCCCATTTAGTCTTTCACAAACAGAATACAACTGATTTGACATTAATCCCAAAGTCAGGACTGAAGTTGGAGTTCTGATGTAACTGCACAGCTTATGGTGAACAATTAGGTTCAACATAAATCTAGAAGTTGTAAGTTTAATACATATGGTTACATTTCATGTATCAGGTAGGGTACTGTAGACGCAGTAATTTGGCTGTGGTATGTGAGTGGTAGCCAGCAGCCAGTGGGGCAGAGGTTGCAGTGCAAGAGACAGTCCAAGTGCAAATGTCTGGGGGAAGGTGTGAGTGAGGGGGTCGGTGGTGGAGAGGGGAAGAAAAGTTTACTTATTAGAAGATGTGATAGCTAAGGGGACAGAGCAGTTACCGTACAATAATCTGAGATGCAGTTGGTAAGGATGCTCTTGACGGGGCTAACCCATGACCCCGCCAAATTATCAAGTGTGCACTCCAACAAACCTATAAATCTGAAAACTCTGGATGCCCTAAAGCTCAGACCCATTTTTACTGACATTAAAAATGCAGCCAATTTTAGTCTGACACATAAGAGCCTAAAAACATACTTGCAAAGAGAAGAAACTGTGATATTCTTCAGTTGGAAATGTGTCACAATTGCATCAGGCTTCAAGGGTTGAGTTTGTTTTTAAGTTCACCTTTAGTTCCTAGTGGTCATAAATTGCTCGAGGGGCTGGTATTTCCATTTTGGCAGTCTTCAAACTACAGGACCATAATCATAGTTAACTTCAATTAAAAAGCCCCTCCAAAATAAGAGTGCACTCCCAGGCAATAATGTCTAACTTCAGCAAATATCCTGGTAGGTTGAGGGTTTCCACATTTTCCACATACAGATTGTTAAAACATTCAAGCTGGTCTTTACAAAGTCTTCTTCATCCGTCCACTTCCTTTTACATTGCCATGCACAGACTCACAACATCGGTAAACACTTAAACCCATGAAAGTGGTACGACAGTCATATCCATCCTTTTGACAAGAAAAAGAAACATGAGGTTAAAAATGTATTATGTCTAAAAATAAAAAGAATAGTGCCACAAAAACAGAAATACTCCTTTCTTCACTGGTTGTGTTTTTCCTGCACATGGTTGTGTTTAGGCAACAATAAAAATGTTTCCTTATTATGTTGATAAAAAATGGAATTTACATTCATTGTGTTTCTCAAAAACTGATCTGCTGTTGCAAATTATTAGCACAGATGTAATTTTATATGTGAAGAAGGAGTATGGACACGCTTTAGCTTCTGAACTCCTCAAACATATTAGGGAATGGGCTTATAATTACACTTTACATAGTGGTGTACGAGTTGATTTCTGAACGCTCACTCAGAATGATCCAATGTATGAACATGAACAATAATAAATTGCAGATGGGTCTTCACTTTAAGGATAGCATTTTTGCTACTTCCAATGAGGAATCATTAGTTCAGATTGGTCCTGAACAAAAAGCTGATGTTCTCCACCAATAACAATCCCCTCATTGAAAAATTTCAAAGAAACTGGAGGGGAGGGAGAGAAGATAGTATGTGTTCTCAAATGTATGGTCTTTGTATATGGTGAGGAATGACTCACCCTCTCTGTTCATGCGGCCTTGTGGTGGATGTGTAGGTGGTAAATCCAAGACAATGATGTGTAGGGAACACATACATTCACATTAACATAAAGGCTTTTCCTTCCATGTTTTAGTGGATGTCACCCTGGGCTGTTTTTCCACAAGCCTATTTCCTGACATTTTATAGAACAGATAAGCAGCAGATTAATCAATAATGAAACTGAATGTTAATGCAGCCTTTTGTTTTTTGGATGACAAAAAATATATACGTGGGACTGTATGAAAGTTACTGAGGTGGGGAACAAAACTTGCGGTCACTTTTACATGGCCCAAATTTCAGGACTCCAGCTACTCTCTATTTTTGAACCAACTGTTATTAACATTGTCACTGAATAAGTGAATGGGGCACAGGCAGCGGCTCTGTGGCTTCCGAGCAGCTTCAGTAGTTCATAGCATCATTTTCTCTTCTACTGTAGTTCTTTTATGATGCAGAATGAAGTGAACGTCTGTTTTAACAAGTGAAAGAATGGAATAAGATTTAATCCCTACTGAAAAAATCCACATCCTTATTCCTTAAAATTGGCATTATGGTTATTCTATAGCTACAAGTTAATTGGGAAGTGGAAAATAAATCTTGCAAGAAGAAGATTAAATCAAATACTGACAAAGAAAAAAAAATGAAATACCCAACTTCAGCTCTACCAAAACATTAGACAATACCTTCAGCAAATAGAATTGTATGTATATTTAGTTTGTTAGTGTTTGAGGCAGTATAGGAGCTACAGGCCTGACTTTAAGAAGGCAGTGGACCCTCTCTGCCTCCAACGCACAATCAGTACGATTGAAATAAAAGCTCAGTCACCCGAGGAAGCTATTGGCTGGAAGGCTTCAGGTCCCTGCGCACTGGCGATGGACCGCTCTCATAAACAGCGCTCACACTGACTCAACACACACATCAAAGTATATGGGAACATGTCGCAGTACACTCTGGGAGGTAGGAAGCCTTATGTGTTCTTGATCTTGTGTGTTTCTCACTTTCACTGCTTGTGATTAGTCTGCGATCTCTGTATGGCGGTTTTCATTTGTAGCTTCATTATTTATCCGACATAAAGAAAATATCAGGACGTAGCACAGATTTAATTTACAAAAAAAAAAAAAAAAAAAATTATTATACTGTTAATCTCTGTTATGACTGGCTTCAAACCTGAAGAAGAGCTGGAGTCGGAGGGCAGGAAGCAGCTTGGAGAGGGGTCTTTGCGCACTTAGACGGCTGAGGAATGAACTGTGGAGAGAGGTTGCTACTCATTGGGAACCTGTCCCGAAATATTTGTTTTAGATAACTTTGTAAAACAGTTTGTATACAAGTAAAAAGGTTATTCAAGCCCAGAGGTTAGACTAATCTTCAAACACTTTCTGTCAATCTAAAATAACTGCATTATAATACATTATTAAATTGAATTGTTGTTATCACTGTATGCATGATTAAGTGGAGTCTGCAGTTTACAGTATAGCCAAAAGGATGAAGATTTCTGTATTAAATGCTGAACTGGCACAGCTCAGGTTTCACCATTACCTCATTCAGTCTATAACAATGTCCTCTGGCTGGCCAGCCTGAGCCATATTTTAGAGCAATTCCCTCATCTTTTATTTTCTAAGAGCACTGCTGCATCCAGCCCTTCTGTACTTTCATCTTTTAATGCAGGCTGTCTGAGGAGCTGCCTGCTCCTGGACAGACTCTTAGACGGGGGTGAAATGGATCTGCACAGTTAACAGTTAACAGATTTACTTTGATAGTGATCTTATCTTTACACCTCTGCAGTGTGCTTTTACTCTCTGATAAGCCTCTTGTGGTGTGTAATTTATGTATGTTACTTGTTGGGACACACCCTTCAGATGATCAGATGAGATTGTGTTTTTCAATGTTTCACTCCTGATTAAACAACATAATAATAAAATAATAATAATAATTTATGAGAGAAAAATACATAGCATTCCTCCCTAATAAGAGATGGATTTTAAATCTCTAATGACAAAAACATCTAGCTTTCCTCTGTAAATGGTTTTTATTCTCTTTGCTTATTGGTTACCTTGCAGTGGTCACTGGCTGAAGCTCACAGCCATGTTTTCACCAGTATCCAGGGTGTCTGATGCATGACTCATCCCAATACACCCTCATTATCTGACGTTAAATGAACATCAGGGCTCAGCTTTAGCAGCTTCATTCTCAGTTAGTCTGGCAGCTATGTCAGTGATTTTATACAGTTGTGTGTTGCTCAACTTTATTTTGAAATTTGAAATTCTATTCAAGATTTCTGTTTGTTTAAAGGTGGTAATTATGAAATGCTTACCTTAAGTGAAATCTGGGTAAAATATTCTTGTAGATGGGCTAACTGTCATTTACGTTTCTATGAAGTGCTGAAACGCACATATATAGAAGTAATATGTGGAGTAATGTTGACAGTGTGTGGGAAATGTTTTATCTAACCTGTTGGATTTTTTTTTTCTGGGAACACTGACAGCATTATGGTTTAACTGGTTAAAATTATGAAACGCACACAAACTCACAATTTGATTGCCAGGGAAATTGACACCAGCGCTTGTATGTGCACTGCTCCTGCCTTGGATCAAAGCAGCAACTGTGACAATACCATTTATACAATTATGATTATAACCCTGAGACATTTCCTCTTTAATCTAATCAAGGACGCAGAGTGCAGACACAACAAGATAATGTTTAGAGTCAGATGTCCTCTGATCTTTTGTAATGAATTTGGCTTTATTGAAAATCTGTCTTTCATTTTTTTCTTCACTGTCAGGTCACACACTTGATTTGTTACACTCTCTACTTTCCCTGTCTCTCTCTATTTCCTTCTCCCAGTTGCTTTCTTTTCCCTGAACACTTTGATTCACTCTATCTCACTTTTTCATGCTCCTTATTAATCCCACTAACACAATATTAAACTGTGCCCACTTTGTTTTCTGTCTATCTAGTTCACCTGCAGATCCTGCTGGCGGTGGGTCTGGCTGTGTTCTGCTACTGTCTGGTTCTCGGTTGTATTCTTTGCTGCCGCAGAAGGAAGAGTGTTTCATCCGAGGACAAGGAGGCAGTTTTCTTGTCTCCTCATCCTGCAGAGAGGGTGACTGTCACATTGACTCCGTCTCCATGTACCCAGCCTGTCAAGCAGCAGTACGAAGAGCTGGATGGGGACGTGTTGGAATTCCCTTCCTCCAGAAGCAGCTCTTCTCCCTCCGAGGATGACCTCACTGCTCTGCCCTTTGACCGCAGCCCTACCAGATCAGCTGAGCTGGTGCAGTCTCCTGGGTCTTCTTTTCCAATGCGGCGCCTCAGCACCCCAGCTGTTCCTTGTTCACCTAATAAACGTGCAAGTCATGGCAGAGCCTCTCTGCCCTCCCTCACTAAGCTGAGCCTGGTGTCCAAGTCCCGTCGGGCAATAGGTCGCCGCAGCACAGTGAGCGGTGAAAGTTTTCTTTACAGTGAGAGCAGTCAACTGACTGCCAGTGCTCCCACCCAGCAGGGGGAGCCCTGCCTATCACAGTATGGCTCTAACTCTCTCTCCATCCCCTCCAAGGCAGCTCCTCTCTTGCACTTCTCCTTGCTCTTCTCCTCTGCCTGTGGCACCCTGGTGGTCAACATCCTGGGGCTCTCAGGGGCCAGTCGAAGGCGCAGTGGGGTGTTTGTTCGGGCCAGCCTTCCTCCCCTCTGCCCCTCCCCGCAGCAGATAGCCTCTCGGCGCCGCAGCCTCAGCCCAGACCTCCACAGCCAGAGCTTTGTTCTGCAGGTGGGCTCTGTAGAAGAGCTGTGCACCTGCACCCTGAAACTTGCTGTCTACAGCAGGGACTTCTCAGGCCTAAGAGAGGCTGCGCTGGGGGTGGTGGAGCTGCGCTGTGAGCAGGTGGAATGGGAGCCTGACATCACCTCCACCTACACCAGGCAGCTTAACCCAACTAAAAGCAAGCTGAAAAAGGTATATGGTGGTTGGATGATTTCATTAATTTAATGTATTACATTTACACCTTCAAGAGCAAAGAGTGTATAGAGAAGATAATGCACAAAAGGAAACTGCTATCCTGGCTCCATCCACAGAGATCAAACTCTGCTCCTCTAAAGCTCATCTATTAAAATGTCATATCTTGTTTGTTTAATCAAAAACCATCACTATTTCTTGGCCGTGCACAGTAGCTGTTCCCCCCTGTTTCCAGTCTTTACGCCTAGCTACACTAACTAACTTTATATTTAATAAACCAACAGGAGAGTGGTGTGGATCTTCTTATCTAACTCTCAGAAAGAAAGTGATGCATATCCCCCAAAAGGTCACACTATTACTTTAAATGAAAAGAAGCTCCCTTTACCATGATAAAATGATCAAGTCAGTAGGGTAATGTGACCGGCTTCTTAAAGATGCAGCCTGTGTTGCTTATGCTATGAGGCTCTTTCTCAGGTCTCGTTGGGTCCTGCCAGATCCAGTCAAGATGTTGCACAGACCATAGCCCCATGGCAATATAGGTCTGACCTAAACTGAGGCAAAGTAGACTAGAAAGTGTGGAGCAAAGACCCAGTACGAGGTGGGCCAGGGCTTTGGGTTTTTCAGGCAGTTTTGTTGTGTCTTAAGTTTAGATTAAATCAGGGTGGACTGTGTTTGTGTGTGTCTATGTTTCTGAAGATCTTTTTTGGGCCACTGACTGTATGCACTTTCGAACTGCTCTCCCTGATTGTAGCGAATGTAGTATGTGATTTCTTTCAAATAGTTTTTTAACAAAGCCTGCCTTTTCACTTGATTTAATGTACAGGGAAACTGTGCATAGCCTACAGTATAAATAGCACATATCATGTTTTATCCATGAAGGAATGTGGGGTCTAATCAGTTCTCCTATTAGCCAGTTTTCCACTGTTGTTAGTCATGGTGACATTGTTGTTAGCGACTGCAGAGCAAACAAGCAGAGTGCAGCAAATTGGCAGCGCGCCCACGCTGTGCCCTCTGCGGCACCGTTGAAACACTGCCAGAGGGCATTAATAGCGTACTTTTGAAGGGAGAGGGTCCTGATGTTTCAGTGGACATGACTCAGTCACTCTGAGGAGATGTGTAGTGTGCTTGGTGGGAAGGCCAGTATCATTTCTTCCGTTTAACAGTTATGTGAAAATCAGAGTTAGGTGTACTCACCTCTGTCCCTCCTTTCATGTCCATGTATGGCTCAGCCTCTTCTACACAGACACACCATCGCCTTCCTCTTTCTTAATGACAGCAGCTGCTGGGTGTGAATGTGTGTGACTGTGTGGTTTAGGAGCATGAGGTTGATGTAAGAGAGCGGGGCTGCTCAGCAATCTGAATAATTCTTTGAAGAGTGGGTGTGTATACGGAGGCTGTGCAGCAGGAACTCCATCCTCTAATGTAGGGACTTCCCGGATTTATAGTAAAACACCAGGTTTTGTAATCAGTGTAATGGGACCAGTCAGAATATTGATGATTATTCATCTGCATTACATTACTTGTTTTGACATTTCATGGGAATAGGGGGCATGACGTGGCAGCAATTGAAGGACTGTGTATTTTGGTGCAAGAGGAGGCTGATCACGACAGTGCTGCTATTCATTGTCAGAATCAGATGTGCTTTATTGGGGGGAAATTCATCATTTGTCACACATCATTTAGGACAAACAGCCACTAAACTCAGCTTTCTGTTGTCAGGCAATGAGCATACAAATAAGAATAACATTAGGAAATAGGAACGATAAATATTAAATCCATGCAAACTGATGACAGAACTGGAATAAGTGATAATTTTTTCTTAACAAACATTTTATGATCTGTTGCTGCATCAAGCTTTATAAAACAGAGCACCCCACTAACATTATTGTGTGGGTCCCTGAGCTATAATTGAGATCATTTTCTGCGTCTATTTGGCCTGCTAGAGGTTCACTTTTTATACTGGGTTGCTCATTTACAACACAATTTCATGCAGGGCTTGAGCTTCAATTTGGCTCATATGAGTTTGTGGGCTGAAAGCAGATGCCCATGGTTTATAAAATAACAGCACAGCCTTGGTTTGGCCAGGTGAAAAGAGCTAAAAGTCACACAAGGCAGGCAAGTTGGAGACAACATTACTAATAATCATTTCACATTAGTAGGAGACAGACCAGGGTGTAGAAAGTCTACAAAATAAACTGAAACCTGACCAGTGGATTATCAAACTCTTATGTTAGCAAAGAGTTGCCTAACTTATCCAACAGGCAGAGAGAGTCTCCAGTACCTCCTGAGAAAAACATCTGGGTCTTTAGCATGCTGGATATTTAATTTTCTTCACCAGTCTCTAGTTTACTTTGGATCTTATTTCAGGATGAGCCAACACTGTCTCCTAGAAAGTTGTGAAGTTGTTGCTGATAGCATGTGAATGTTCAGGCAGTCATTCCTGCATAAAAAATGGTTAGGACCACAAGGAGAAGTTTTTCTTATATTTCTTTTTCCCCGTCTCTTCTAAGGCTTTCATGCTTCGGAGACCACTGAATGACTCATATAATCAGTCTGTTAGGGTCTCTTATGCAACCCAAGATATCTGCAGCGAACAGAGTTACCAAATACTAACAACCCTCTGCAGTCTCATTGCAAAAATAAGAGCCAGAAAATCAGATTTGCATTTACTGGCCAAGTATGTGTACATGTTGGCCTTGAAATATTAGTAGGCTAACTGTGCTATGTATTGCTAGATCCTTGCCGCTGTCCGTGGTTCTGAAGTTGCAGATGGATTTGTAATTGTGCATTTTTCTCTCAGGCCCACCCATCTGTCAGTTAAATCTTGGATCTATAATATTCTCTAAACTGTATACAATAAATACTCAATTCCGTACTAGATTATAGCCGTTATACTCTACAGAATCACCTTCATGATCAAAGCGACAGGTACGTGAGAGGATCATAGAGACATACTGCTGCCAGTAGTATTCCCTATAATATTTCTATGATTATTCAGTAGCATCTGTGCTGCTTCAAATACACCTCCAGACCCATGGGGGTTACCCTAACCCTCCCAGTGAGTGATCCCCTGTTGAAAATGAACAAATAATTGACGGCTATCTGACTCTATCAAAGTTACTCAAAGTTCTAAGAACAATTGTCAGAAAGAGAGATCAATATAGATAACTGAAAACAAGGACAACAAAGCTGAATAAAGATAGGTAAAATAAACATATGTACATATAATAATAATATATAATACATATAATGTACAGACACTTATAGGTGAAACAAAATTAGATTAGATTTTTTTGGTGCAGGATGGGAATGTTTGAGGATGTGAAGGATATGTTGGTACAGCCAACTTTTCTGAACCAGCCTTTTACTACCTCATGTCTTTAGTTACAGTTTTAGAAACAACAGGAAAGAAACACAGGTGGAGAGGGATGCAACACAGAGTTGGAGTTGTAATTTATGATAAAAAAAAAAAAACCCTGACGTTTTACCAGTTTTACCATTAGGAAGCTGCCTCTAAATGAACTGTGGAGTGACCAGTAGCAGTGGGAACCTTTAGTTTGATGAAAGGTTGAAAAACTTGAAAAACAGATCTCTTAGCTTTAAGGGTTGTTCAGCAATGTGTGTTTGCAAATGTCTCCTTTTTAAAAGGCAGTGTAAGTGCGAGTGTCGCTCTCTGAGGGGAAGTGCTAGTGACAGACAGAGGCAGTGAAGCGAAACTCACTTGTTGGATGAAAACGCATTCACACTCTGTTGCCTGGCCTCAGCAAGATGCTGGCAGGCTAAAACTCAGCCAGTTGACATCAGGCTGTGACTCACCGGACCCCAACAATGCAAGCTAATGAGATCTGACATGAAATCAGATGGAAATTACTATCATACATACACATATTGCTTTTATCTGAAGTGCATGAAGCTCTGTATTATCTTAGGATGAATGGTCAAATTGGCAACAAAATGCTTAAGCCTGACAGCCACAGATGATTAGAACCAATATTACCGATTAGCTTGAAGTGATTGAAAATGTGATTCAGATTTAGCCATGCAGCTGAGCCCCTCAGGCAGGTCAATCAACATGCCTTATGAATAAAAACATTCATATTTTGGATATGTCCATCAAATGACTGAATCAAAAAAGTGATTCAGATTGAAATTCTTAACTGTTCCATTACTTTGACAGGCAGTGATTCACTGTGGATTCCTTTGAAGGGGAACTAAACATTGATTCCGACATTATCAATGCCTTGGTCGACTCATTCACTGACAGAACTAAGGAAAGATATTCATGAGTTTAGTTTCTTTCCTTGGTTTCATTTCATTCCCAGCTTCCCAAAGGATGAAGGGAACATCTGCTGAGTGAAAGAAGACATTTTTTCCCTCTAAAATCTCTCACATTTTCTCGGTTTTCCCCTCCTTCCCACCCTTAGAGTGTGAGTTCTCAGGAAACACTGGGTCACAGGAAGAGTTCGGTGTGTGTGCCGCGGGCTTTGGGCCAGCTGTTCATCCTGCTGCAGTACCAGACTGTGGCCCAGCGCATCAAGGTGATGGTCCGAAAGGCTGAGAATCTGGCCAAGCTCACACGGATCCCTGGAGCTCCAGGTAAAGACCAAAAAATCCTCACAGCCAAGTTGTTGGTGCCATTGCCTTATATAATGCCCCAATATGAGTGTTGTGTGATCTAGTGCATCTAAAAGAAGGATTACATGCCCAACAAACCCTTGTGACTTTGAAAACATGCCGATGCACTACAGTATGGTTAAGGTCTAGTAATAATGACTACATGCACAAACTCTTCAGGTTTTTACACTTATTCTGAAAAAGACAATATTACTACTTAGCTGAAAATGAATATTCCAGTAACCAAAATTTCACATTCCTGTTTACATGCATCTGTGCCTACTCGATGAATGTAACTGTTTATGACATACTGTAATCCTACCGAGGAATTTCCCTTCTTTTCCCTTTCTCCTTTCCTTCCCTTTCCCTTCTTTTCAAACTGCAGTCACGTTGCTAAAAAAGTAAAAGTGTAACAGCTGGAGCCACTTGAGCCATTTTGCCTCTAATACACTGCATATAAAATAGGATTTTGGTACAAAGAGTGGCAGACTTGTTCGACCATGCGAACACAGCCTCCCTCTTTTAACCATCTTCTTGAAAAGGTTGGCATGTGTTTCTTTTTCCGACCAGAAATGTGGGCTTTTCTTTTGTGCATACATCTCTATTCCAGCCTTGAAAACTGTTGGCTAGTTGGTTTGTATACGTTGCACAGAAAACTGGATCTTTAGCTACTAACTACTCACCAGCTTATTGCTACCGTTGTCTGTCACCTGATCCTGGGCAGGTAGTGTGTAGTCAGATTATTAGAGCTGTATAGTTGAAATGTTGTATGATCTATTCGAGAAGAGTGAACCAAACTCTAAATGCTGCTGGCTTAAAAAGCAAAACAATGAGCTGAGAGATGCTAGAAACCTTGAGTTCTGATGAGTCGAGCGCTAATTTTCTGTGGGTTCATCACTACGAGCAGCAACACTCACATAGAAGTAGTCATGTGATCCATTTTCAATATAAATGATTTTAACTGTTTTTTTTATAAACTACTTATTTATTATTTACTACCTATTTATTACTGTAAACTGCAACGTACATGAACACACTGCCTGCCAGAGGTTTACAGCCTCTGTCTGTATTCTCCTCTATTGCCTCAGCCACAGACAGACAGACCGGATCCCTGATTGGCTTGTAGTGTAATGAGATTATTAACCGATCAGCCTGGTTTCATTTCCCGTCCTGTCTGTATCATATCTCACTGCATCTGATTTAAAGCTCTGCTTTGATGATGTTGGTGAGGAGAGGAAGAAGCAAGAGGAAAACAACTTTGATGTTTTTGGTTCCTGCGTCTGAACTACGTGGTCGGTTATGTGATCTTTGTGAATTTCAAGATAAAATAGTTTCTGAAATCTGTCAGCATACATGCTCTTTGCAAATCCGATCTGACAGTGACACATTGCTTTTTAATTTTAGTAAATCCAATTAGCATGCTAGAATGGATTTATGAGGGAAATCATATTTTGCAAGTGATGTGGATCTGGAACAGTGACAGGAAATAGGTGTTAAAAGAGGGTTATGATGATGTAGATCAACATAAATTGGCAGTTGCATGTGAAATAAGTAACACACAAGATGGCAGTGTACATATTTTTCATGTTATTAACACAGACCCTGCCCAAAAGTGTTAATATCAGTGATTTTGCTGCTCCTATTTATCTGTGTACCCTATAGAAAGAAACATTGAATCTAAATATGACATTAATCAGAAATCTGAAACATGAAATTAAATATATATTTTCCCCCCACAGACCACTACGTTGTCATCAACCTGCGTCAGGATGGGAAAATAATTGGTACCAAAGAGACCAAAGGGGCCAGCGGTCTAAACCCCGTCTGGAACGCTCCATTCCTGTTTGACCTGCCATCTGGTGACATCACTGAGCTACCGTTGCTCCTTGAGTTTATCATCATGCAGGTATTAGAAGTTTGACATTATTTGGCAAAGTCCCTCATATACATAACATATTAATATATAATGTTAATGTGCTAAAATATTGGTAACTGAATCTTCATACTCTAGGGCCGTCTCTACACTAAGAGCAGTATTCTGGGTCGTGTGTTGATTGGCAGCGATGCCTCAGAGGCGGGGCAGGGACACTGGAAGGAAATGTGCAATCGGGGGCAAACAGAGACGGCTCGCTGGCATACCATCCAATCAGATGTGCTGTAGGACTGATAAACTGCGCTGCCGTCCCTCTGCCACCCACTGTGTGAAACATATAGAGATGGAGACAGGTGGGAATAACGATTAGTGACTGGGTTGCACGCTCCTCCTGCGCTTTCAGAGTATTTATTTTGAGTTCTGTTGTAGATTTTATGTGGATAGTTTTCCATGTCATTTAACAACAGATAGTGTTCATGAATCGTAATGCTGTTTGTATGGAGAGACAAGTAACAGTCAAATATCTAGATGCACATGAGTATCTAAAGAGGGAGAAGCGCTGATCAGCGTATGGAGGAGGGATGTGCTGAAGACATTGCCTTTGTAATTATTTCCACTGTGACTTCTTAAAACTGTTGCCTGTATAACTGTATCATTCTGGTTGTATGGATGCAACTTGTGCTGATGTTGTAGTATTGTTTGTATTGTGCCGAGATGCTACAGATGTTGATGTTGACTAGAACTTGATGGATGTCTAAAAATGTGCAACGTTATTGAGCATATATGTTGCCACTCTGCTTGTGGTGAACTGTGGTGTATTAGACTGTACCAGTATTTGTCCACATACTGTAAACACCTCTCTTTACTAATATTGTATGTATGAGGCCATTATTGTGGCCTCACTTTGTGTGGCATGCCTGCTGAACTATTGTTTTATTTTGTTCAGTTCCCTAGAGGATTTCTATCCTTTTCATCAACTACAATAAATGTGGAGGCTTGATGGTTCACAGAAGGTTTAACGGAGCAATGTTCAGTCATCTGCATTTGGCCTGCTAATGTGCAGTTAATCCATAATAAAATATTTCTGTGATAGTTTTAACTTTATTCATCAATAGTGCAACATATATGAATACAAGACTGAAGAACTACTTTACGTTTTGTCTGCTGTGCAACATGAGGTCTTTGCTAGCCAAATGATTGTGACCAAGCAGCAGAGTTAACATTATTGTCTATTATGCACTACTCATTCACTGTGGCTGCCTTGCTATTGGATTTTACGACTGATCACAATCTGCAGCAATGTCTCTCTTTTTTGATTTCATGAGGCCTCTCAATACAGGTGAGGGCCCTGTGAACAGCAACATTGAACTTGATTGCATGATGACTCTAAAAAACAGCCGGACTGTCTTAGCACAGACTTTCTCTGCAATGAGCTGAACACCGTTAAATAGAAGCTGAAATACATGTGATCTATTTTAGACAGACTTGCACATTTAGTACATTTATAAGGCTGTCAGAAACCAACTAATGAATTAAATCATCATTCAGTCAATCAATGCAAAATGTATCACATATAGATTCAACTTTTTTGCATTCTCTTCTTTTTTGAAGAGAAGTTGAATGATTAGTTAAAGTTAAAGTTAAAGTTAGACAACTGAAGCAAATAAAGGTTACTCAGTGGGAACAGGAATATTAAATTTTGTCCTCTTCTTAGCCACAATACACACAGTAATATTATTATTTTATTTGAGGGATTAAGCTGACATTTATCTGGTCTCGCACTGTCAGCATTAAAAACAGTTTAAAGGGCAACACCATTGTGCAGACTAAAGATGTGATAAACATGTTGTAACACTTTCATCTCAATATTTGAAAAATATGATACCTGCTCTAACAAATTGAAGGGGGTTTGAACATAACAATTTTTGACATATACATATAATGACACTTGTTTTTTTAACACTAACATGTTTGTGGTTTCTAGAAAGGAATTGTTGTGCTGTGTTTATATTAATTGTATATTGACCATGTTGTAGCTTGCCAGTGGCATGTATTGTCTCAATTGTATATAAATGTCTTTGCTTTTAAAAGGGAACAGTTTCAAAGAATTTAGAATAAATTCATATATTAAATAAAGGAATTTTGTCAATCAGATGTGGATTTTATTGTTAAGGTGATGCTCCAGAAACTCTGGCTGTGATGAAGTCAGAAACCTGTTCTCAGTTCTACGGTGAATGAGCCCAGGTTTGAGAATAAACTCTTGAAAAGCTTTACTTTATGAACTATATTGGCTTTTTTGACCTGTCACAGTAGGAAACGGTATGAGTAATAAAATGAATGAGGGCTGAATTCCATTAAGCTGCAGTTTCAGGGTCCTGGTATGCTGGCTCACTGTCACACTGACACACTTTAATGAAATGAACACATTGTTAATGTTATTAATAATTTCACTCACAATGAAATGAAGAAAATGAAAATGTCAACCTCATGGTGGCACTAAAGGAAAAGTCAGGGAATGACCAAATGTATTCCTCTGGGCAACATGGATGTCTGTACAGATTTTTATGGCAATCCATCCAATAGTTGTCAAAATATTTGATTTTGGACCAAACTGGTTTGCTGTCAGACAAACCCACAAACCTTGTCATCCATAGAAAGATTCAACATGGTTAAAATAATAAAGCTTTGAAAATTGGTCACAGTCATGAAAAGTACACACATTTGTATGTAATTGTCTAAAATATGGATCACCACCAGTATGATCCTTTAAATAACCCCTCAAACAGCTGCAGATCAATGATGTCACTGACAGACAAACGCTGGAGCTGCGCCAGAGACAGTGAATAACTAAACTCCTTAGACGTTATGGCAGCCATCATGGTTATTTTATGGGAATATGGGGACATTTTCTGCTTCACATCTGGTAGACTTGCACTCAGTAAAATAAAAGTCAATAAAACTCAATTGGATGTAATTCTTTAAACCAAAACTCAATGAGTCCACAGAGACACTTGCTTTGCTCTTATTACTGGAACAGCACAATACAAATTCCTATTCATATTCTTGAGAGTCATCTGGACCTGAAAGAGATGTGGCAAATGTAATTAAGGTGATGTAATCAAAGTCCTAGGGTGCTCTTATGTAATATCAGATCGCCAAACAAATGTGACCACTGCCACATACACAATATAAAAAATACATAAATAGTGCACACACTAATGCACACACCCACATGTTTCGGGTCCTTGTGAGTCAGAAAACCATCACAATGTGTAAAATGTGGATATTTGTATCTCATGGGCCCAGCTGGATGGAAAACAGATTCTCACACTTAATTACGCTCATCATATCAAGTCATGCTTCCCATTCTGCTTTTTTATTCCATTTTTAATACATATTAATGGCTCCTTTTATCACTCTGTGATTTGCACCTTCTACTGGCTTCAACCATCACTTCTGTCCATGAGGTGATGTCCAAAAATGGTCCAGATGTGGTTGAGGTTACTTTAGAGTAGGGATCTCACACTCGTAAGATCCAGTGTGTAACATTTAGGAGGATCTATTGGCAGTAATGGAATATAACTGTTATAGATATGTTTTCATTAGTGTATAATCTCCTAAAAATAAAAATCCTTCATTTCAAGCAAATGTTATCCCAAGATGCTTCTGTGGTGCATGGGAATAAATCTTTTAAACATGAAAGCACAAAATATTGCACATCCTGTTAGGTGTAAAGAATATGAAATAAAATTCCTGGCATGAGGCTGTAAAGCATTTGATACAGACATGCCTCTCTTTCTTCATTCCTCTGATCTGCCATCCTCTCCTTGGGGAGGCTGAGTAAATTAGATTTTGTTGATCTATGTGCAGTGTAATCTTCTCTCTGTGTGGGTTTGCAGTGACTCTGCCACTGTCACAAAGATGCATCAAAACAACCCACATACATTTGCACTGCATGTGTAATTGTATGTGTATTTTCTATGCTGTAATGGATACAGGGGGATTTTCTGACAACACTGTCTAATAAATCACCACACATGGTTTAAAAGTTGTAGCTAATTGTTTTATTAAGAGTTATAAAGTATTTACTAATGATTTGTTGATCGGTTATAAGTAATTTATTAGCCTGTGTATAAATGATAATTTATAAAGCTATTTATAAAGAATTCATAAATAATATACCTTATGTGAAAGTTATACCAATATTCGCTATTTCATTCAGCTGCTCATCATTCTCTTTTGTTGAACAAGACTGAATGAGTTACAGAGGAAACCGGTGCCAAAGCAGTCCTTTTGTTGTGCTGCATAATGCTTCACAGTGAAGCACAGCTGAAAGTTTCATGCTCTCTCATGTGAGAAATAGAATAAAACTACGTGGACACTGAGTGCACTGGACACTCTGTTCTCTCCCAAACAAAAACAGAAAAAAAAGTCCCTGACTCACAGTCCCTGAACAACCCTCCAATGGTCGGACTGTCGACTGTGTTTTGGCACTATTGATCCACACGAGCCTGCGGCAGCTTGTCTACCTGTCTGTTCACCTCTCTGACTGCCCTCTGTGTAGAACTGGGTAGAACCAATAATTCCCCTCTGAAACAGTGTACAGATCATACTGACAAAGTCTTATTCATGGGGCTACAAACATGACTGATGGCGTGTGTGTGAAAATATATTTTGTGCTGTATATGAATTTCCTCTTGGGGATGAATAAAGTATCTATCTATAAACTGTGGCACATTAGTATAGAAACTACCATTAAATCCGGCTGATGATTTAGGAGCTAATGATCTCCAGCCTTACAGAGTTCTAACATCCTCCACATCGCACTGCAGGATGCAACCATGACTCACTCCTGTAGTCTTGAGCTGCCTCGGTTGCCTTCACTAGACCCACGGTCTGACATTTACTACCCGTCACTGTGTACCTGCTTTCATCTGAGGAGACAGCAGGGCCTTTTCTGTTCCGGGGGTAGCACGGACATGTCCTCCACTAAATTGGATGCTGAGGCGTGCCACCTACATACTCAAACCCACTGTTTTTCAGTGCTGCCATGACAAAAAGATTAAAAACTTTCTTCTTTAAGCACACAAAGTCCATGCAAACTAAAACAACAACTTCACACAGACACAGCCTCATCACTTGTATTCACTACTGAGTTTCTTCAGACTGTCATGAAGGTCGAATAGTAAAATGATGACAAAAACAATGGAGCAAGGGTAAACAGGGGAGACTTGTTTGACAAAAGGTAAATCTGACAGTGTCGCCTCATTATGAAATCAAGTTGCATGGCTGTAATGTTGGTTAACTTTGTCCCAGGATGAAGAATATACACAACTATAGCATGAATTACTATGATAACTTTCCATTTGTTATAACTTTGGTGGTCACTTGACTTTTCATCCTGTCATCATTAGATCAAAATTTTAGTATGCTAACATGCTAAACTATGATTGTGACTATACCTGCTTAAAGGCCCAGTGTGTAACATTTAGGAGGATCTATTGACAGAAATGAAATGTAATATTAATAGGTATGTTTTCATTAATGTATAATCACATGAAAATAAGAATCTTTGGCCTTTCGTTACCTTAAAATTAGCCGTTTTTATCTAGTCTATCTTAGTCAGAACATTATCATCATGTTTTGTCATGTTGTTTTAGGTGTGAGTAACATGAAAAATAAGATATTGTAGAAAATACAAGAGAGACAAAGACAAAATAAAGACAAAGATTAACCAACTGACTGATACTGTTACAATATAGGCTATAGTGACCACTTTAGTGCCTGTGCCAGCAGAGAAGACGAGAAGATATTACCACAGAAACAACGTGACAAAGCCAACTTGGTGTTTTGAGAACTCAAAGGTACATATCCTACCCAAAGGGGCCTAAAGTTAAGTGGGAGTAAAGCAGATACTGACATGACGTAATAATAGTAAGCAGAATCAGGAATGACCTTAATTCTGAAGCAGATACAGACAAATAAGTCAATAAATAAAATGCGGAGTTGTGATTATTACCTCATATTACCCATCTTGGCGAAACATATTGACTGTGCTCTGCTTCCACTCAGCACCCAGATCGATAGGAGTGACGTACCTTAGGAGAGTACAACTCTCCTGTCATCCTGGTGTGGTTTACTTAAATGGTTAAAGCACTGTGACCCCATTTAGACAAGGCAAAACACTGCAATGCACTGCACCGCACACATAGAGAATAACTATATAGATAAAGAACATGAGAGGTTTCCTTTTTTCTTAAACATTCACCAAATAAAAGTCATGATGATGTCTAAGATATCTAGTTTAGACTGATTTCAAGATTCTTGTCAGTATAAAAAGAAGCTTGGCATTAGATTCCTCAAACTGCTCCAGTACAACCCTACAAACAGAAATAAAGTAGTTACAGACTTACTGCTCTCTCATTGTAGTCTTGTGTTGCCCCACCAGTGCAAGCTTAAAGAACGTAGAGGAGATCAGTCCTTTTCATGTATAAGACATATACACTGGAATTTCTGCAATATAGGCACTTATAATGACTTACAGTACACATTAACAATCACATTTCTAAATTGCTGTATATATTTACATGAATGAAACTAATAAAAGCAAACTGAATGAGGCTCAAAGTCATAAAAATAGCATTGAAATTTAATATTTAAAGTTAGTCAGTAGATATTAGATTAGGAACTTAACAAAATAATAATAAAGAGGACAAACATTTTTCATGATTACAGTCATTTAAGGGCTTTATAATGTCTTGATTTGACGTAAGATTTTCTGGCCAGACTTTGAAAAATATAAAACATTGACCTTGTCAAATTAAACTGTTTAAACACTGCCCTCTGGTGGATCTCTAAGGTAAAGCATCTGCTGGCTGACTAAACCTGGAAAACATGACTTTGCTGTTGCACACACACACACACACACACACACACACACACACACACACACACACACACACACACACACACACACACACACACACACACCTGGCTGTTGCTCTGTGTTTCCAGGTGAAAGCTGCTGTCTCCACCTCAGTAATACAATAATGCCATATTTGTCACACATTATGTCAAAACAAACACACTCTGCCTCTCTGCTCTTTGAAGGCTAACTCCTGCACCCAATTTTACCAATTCCCTTGTGTGTAT